GGATTAAGAAAAATCCAAAGAGATTCTACAGATACATTAAGGGCAAAAGAGTAACAAGGAAGAGATTAGGGTCCCTTAAAGATCAACAAGGCCATCTATGTGTGGAACAGCAGGAGATGGGTGAGATACTAAACAAGTATTTTGTGTCTGTATTTACCGTGGGAAAGAATATGGAAGCTAGAGAATTTGGAGAAGTAAGAAGTGATCTCTTAAAGTGTCTGTATTACAGAGGAGGAGGTGCTGAATGTCTTAAAGCATAAAGGTGAATAAATACCCAGGACTTAATCAGGTGTATCCTAGATCTCTGTGGGAAGCTAGGGAAGTGATTGCCGGTCCCCTTGCTGAGATATTTGTATCATCGAAAGCCACAGGTGAGGTGCTGGAAGACTGGAGACTGGCTAACGAGGAGCCACTTTTTAAGAGAGGTGGTATGGAAAAGCCAGGGAACTTTAGACCAGTGAGCCTGACGTCAGTGGTGGAGAGGATTCTGAGGGACAGGATTTACATGTATTTGGAAAGGCAAGGACGGTTTAGGGATAGTCAACATGGCTTTGCGTAGGAAATTGTGTCTCACTAACTTGAGTGTTTTGAAGATGCCAGAGGAGGTGGTGAAGGCATTGGAATGGGTACATGATTAGGAAGGGGTTAGAGGGATATAGGCCAAATGCTGACAAATGGGACTAGATCAGTTTTAAGATATCTGGTCGGTGTGGACGAGTTGGACCAAAGGGTCTGTTTCCAAGCTGTATAACTCTGACTCCATGAAGTGACAACGAAGATCGGAGGCAGAGTGGTAGCCGTTGTCTATATGGACTTCAGCAAGGCTTTCGACAAGGTTCCACATGGTAGACTGGTTAGTGACGTTAGATCCTACGGAATCCAGAGCGAGCCATTTGGACACAAATTGGCTTGAAGTTAGGAGACGGTGGTGGTGGTGGAGGGTTCCTTTTTGGAGTGGAAGGATCAGTGTTGGGTCTGTTGCTTTTTGTCACTGGATATAAATATAGGAGGAATGGTTAATAAGTTTGCAGATGACGCTAACTTGTTAGTGTAGTGGACAATGAAGAGGGTTATTTCAGAATACCACGGGACCTTGATCAGATGGGTCAAGGAGTAGCAGATGGAGTTTAAGTTAGATAAATGTGAAGTTTTGCATTTCGTAAGACAAAATGGGGAGGACTTAGGACCCTACCTTTAAGTCTGGGGTGTGTTACTGAACAAAGCCACCTTGTGGGTACAGGTTCGTAGTTCCTTGAAGATGGAGATGCACGTTGACAAAGTAGTGAAGAAGGCATATGGTATGCTCGCCTTTATTGGTCAGTACATTGAATATAAGAGTTGGGATGTCATGTTGCCTCTGCACAGGACGTTGGTTAGGCCACTTTTGGAATACAATGTTCAATTCTGGTCTCCCTGCTATAGAAAAGATGAAAGGGTGCAGAAAAGATTTACAAGGATGTTGCCAAGGTTAGAGATTACAAGGTGTAGAGCTGGATGAGCACAGCAGGCCAAGCAGCATCAGAGGAGCAGGAAAGCTGACGTTTTGGGCCTAGACCCTTCTTCAGAAAATCTCCAGCATCTGCAGTTCCTACTATCTCTGTTGCCAAGGTTAGATGGTTTGAGCTATATGGAGAGGCTGAATAGGCTGGAGCTATTTTCCCCGGAGCATCAGAGGCTGTGGGTTGACCTTATAGCGATTTATAATACCATGAAGGGCATGAACAGGGTGACTAGCCAAGGCCGTTGCTCCCAGGGGAGGGGGATCCAAAGCTAGAGGACTTTGTTTTAAGACGAGAGGGGAAAGATTTAAAAGGGACCTGAGGGGTATCTTTTTCACGCAGAGGGAGGTGCGTGTATGGAATGATCTGCCAGAAGAAGTGGTGAAGGCTGGTACAATTACAAGATTTGAAAGGCATCTGAATAGGAAGGGTTGAGAGGGATATGGGCCAAATGCTGGCAAATAAGACCAGATTAATTTAGGATATCTGGTCAGCATGGACGAGTTGGACCCAAGGGCCTGTTTCTGTGCTGTATGACTCAGTGACTCTATGACTTTCTGACTACACATATCAATACACTAGACCCTGTCCTTTGCATATCGAATGAATATGTACGTACCATGTGTCTGTGCCAACGCAGTAAAATAGGTGACTGCTTATTCATTGGTCATGGCATTGCACTGAGAAATCACAATCAACCTGCCTGGTTTAAAATTTAAAAGTCCTAGCAGTTAATGACAAACATCATTAATCTTTGCATTGTCCATGTCAATGCCTTTATCAACAAGTGTCTACTTGCCAACCATTCAGTACTAGCCTGTTATAAATTGCTGTTCTTTTGAATTAGTCTGACGAGTGCAAGACAAAGAATTTTGATTAAAAATTAGATCATTCCAAATGCCATAGCATTTGGATTTGTATCCCCCAACTCTTCTATCTTCCTGCAGAGGAACTTGTATACTTTTTACTGCCACCAAATCTATCTTTCATCTTCTGCTTACGTTTTAGTCTTCAAGTGTGCACTACCACTGGAGATTGATTGGCAAGATAGTAAATAGAATAGCCAGTTAGATCCATGAAATTATTTTCAAGTAACTTGCAACAATAGGGCAAGAATACAGTTTTCAACTGGTTTAAAATTTAAATAGGGTTGAAATGAGGATGTTCTTCACAAGTCAGTACAGATTAGTTGGGCTATTTACCCTATTTTTGTTCATTGTCCAGAAAGCTGAAGGCACCTCTTTTGTAAAGTTAGATAAATTATTTTTGGTTTTACTTTTATATCTGGAAGTTCATTTCTATGCATTTAGCATTCTGTATGTGAAGAATATTTTGATAGCAGTCCTAAATTTGCATTTTAGTCATTTGAACTTTACCTTTTCCCAAATTAACTTTAACGAAATTTCTGGCCTTGTATTTTAAAAACTGTCTATACCTCTACAAAATATCTTATTTGATCCCTACTCTGAAGTGCACTGAGACATTTTTTTTAAAAAAAATAGATTGTCTTTCTTTAAAGTTCAGAATTCTATCACTTGGAATAGAATAGTTAAATTTAACACCACAGAAAGAGTTCATTTAGCTCATTTTGTCTTTTACGGATTCCATAAAGAGCTACCCAGCTAGTCCCATTCTCCAGCCCTATCTCCGTAGCCCTCTAAATTCATCACTTTTTCAAACACATATCCAGCTGTCTTCTGAAACCGCCTGTAGAATCTGCCTCCGCCACTCTCCCAGATAGTGCGTTCCAAATCCTAACAACCGAGTAAAGAAGTTTCTCCTCATCTCACTCCTAACTCTTTTGCTGACAGTCTTGAAATTGTGACCCTCTAGTTACGACAAACTAACTAGCGGAAACAGAATATCTTTCTTTACCCTGTCAAAATTGTTCACAATTTTGAATACTTCCGTAAGGTCCCCTCTTAATCTTCTCTGCTCCAAGGAAAATAAACCCAAGTTCTCCAATCTTTCCTTGTATCTAAAATCTAAATTCTATTAAATCTCCTTTGCACTCTCTCCAGAGCTTTACCATCCTTCCTTAAATAAGATGCATAAGAAGCAAAAAACTTTATCTGCCATATACCTGAGGTAAAGATCTGCTGGCAAAGCTCAATAGTGAAGAGACCTAGATAGGTTAACGTTTTGTTCATTGAAGTAGTTCACTTGAACAGTTACCTGTCTGTTTCTTAGCATATGTTAACCTGGTGAATGTTTTCAGCATCTTCTGCTTGTCTTTATCTAGTTTGAGTCTTATACCTTGTCTAAACATGCTCACCTAAAATTCTGAGATAACAAGGTGTAGAGCTGGATGAACACAGCAGGCCAAGCAGCATCACAGGAGCAAGAAAGCTGACGTTTCGGGTCTGGTTACCCTTTTTCTGAAGAAGGGTCCAGACCCAAAACGTCAGCTTTCCTGCTCCCGTGATGCTGCTTTGGCCTGCTGTGTTCATCCAGCTCTACACCTTGTTATCTCAGATTCTCCAGCATCGGCAGTTCCCACTACACCTAAAATTCTGCTGCCCTGTACTGATTCACTCTTCATTCTCTGCACCCAAAATCCTCTGACCACATTGGCTCCTTTTAGGAATGAAACTTTTTTTTTTAAAAAGTGACAACACGGAGGCTTAAACTGTCCTCAAAATCTCAAACTTAAGTCAAGCAAAATCAGCCAGGATATCTAATGCTAGTTTGAATCCAGTGACCTCTGCTGGCAATTCCTCGTTGCCTTTAGGATGTAGACAGGATTGGGTTTGCTAGTGAATATCTTTGTAAAGCCTTCTAAATCTGAGCGTTGACACTTGGTCACTTGGATAACTTATAAGAGGCTACCTATTGCTTGTGGAGCTCCATCCCAATAAGAGTTCACTGTTTAAAGAAGATACAGGGAGAAAACTATTGTACTTCATAATAAATAAGTAAACTTTTCCAATTTAATGATCTTCTAGAACTTAGCTTTGTCAACAGTAAGGGTGGAATTGACCCATTTGTGATAGTGAACCAGTAGCCTGTTCTATACCTTGCTTAACTTGTGTATATTTGCTTATTGGGGTTGTCTGTAAAACAAGTTCCCTGTTAAAGTGAAATAATAAACTGACTTGATAACAATTTGAAAATGTGATTTAACACTGAAATATTTGAAGTAAGGGTGCAGAGGGAATATTAGTGAACAATATAATGTTAGGACTAGTGGTTGTGCTTCTAAACTAGTCATCCAGAAAATGAAGTTCAGTACCAACTTGATAATCTGAGAATTTTGTTGTATATATTTATGGCAAGCTAGATGGGTAAATGAGGGAGGCAGGAATAGAATAATAACTCTGAGAAGGTTAGGTGAAGTAGGGAAGGTAAAGGAGAAACACTGGTACAGACCATTTCAACCAAATGACCTATTCAGAAAATTCACCTTGCCTCATGTTCTTAAATTATGTTGCATCGGGTTAAAATATGTGAAATCAACTGTGTAGAAATCTCAAATTTATCAATGAAATCTGTTTCTTGCAGGAAGATGGTATCAGGCAAGTTCTTGAAGAGATGAAAGCTTTGTATGAACAGAACCAAACTGATGTGTAAGTTTTCTTTATAACTATTTCATATACTGATTTGCCTGTTGGAAAGTGGATTAACTTTTCAAACATGGCACCAAGGATAATGCATGAGAATTATAGAACAACTTTCTTTCTAAATATTCAACAGCCACTTTCAGGTCCCAACAAACTAGAACTTGTGTTTTTCTAGAAATCTATCCCAGCAGGGTTTGCATATTGCAAGTTACTTTGCAGTTTCATTAATATTACTAGATTGTCATGTGGTAAAAGCATTCTTCAATCTCCAAATTGGCAAAATGTCAACCAAGACCAGAACTTTCTTTGCAAGGAACAGAAACAGAACAGTAATGAGCAAATCTAATAAGGGGTTTAATAATTTTTATCAATGTCTAAAAAATGTCATCAACTGTTCAAGTGGTTAAACTAAGTCTTAAATAATACACAGCGATCATTCTCTTTTCCAAACACAAACTTTCTAACGCAGACGACCAGTGTGAACCTTCTTAAATCTATAGATTCTTCAATATCCTGATTTAAACCATAGACTCATTAATTGGACAACAGGCAATTAAGATTCATTGATACAGAAGGATCCATTTAGTGCTTTGGTACATATGAATTTCTATTAAACTGTCAATTACGTATGAACTAGTCAGCACAAACTTTGGATTCTGTGAGAAATAAAATCCACACTTTAAGAATGTTAATTTCTGATTCTTGTATAAATATCTAGACAAATAAGATCGTTCGTTGTTCGATAACTACTTTCTCATTTTAAAGGGGACAATAAATTGACTGTTCTAGGAACAGTTTTCTCTTTGGAACTCCAGTTTTTGTCAACAAAAGAACTAGATGGGGTTGCAAAAATTTGATCCCCTAAGCATCAGTACAAATCCTGGACCCTGCCTCCTTCAAACTACCACTGAAATAAACACAGAATTTGAATTTTTCAGCTGTTGTCAATGATACTTGCTTAATAGCATCTTCCTTTAGCTTGACAGAATTTTGATGTCTGTTATTTTCTTAAAGTCTGATTTGAACATCATTGTGTTTGGAAATTAATTCCCTTGGTTATAATATCCGGTACAAATGCTGTGCTCAATCCGGTCAAAATGAACTGGTGAGGACCGTCACTCCATATTGGTTTGAGGCACAGTCACTGTAGTAAGTGGCATTGCTAATCACCACACGTTTGACTGTAGCCAAGGATTGTGCTGAGACAGGCAAGTACATATTTCATTCTGACCTTGAGCTGCTGCTGTCACTGAAGGGACATTGCTAGAATAATTACGCCCATGATGAGATGATTATAAATCAAGCAGTGTTTTAATTTGGCAAAGACCTTAGAGCTCCTGAAGCACATAACTGAACTATACTGTTATGATCTTGGTAGAGGCCAATAACTTAATTTGAACTGAGTTATTAACTGAACGAATTACACTACAAGATTTCACGCTATTTTAAAAATAAAGTACAAGAGTTAAAGCAAGTACTTCTAATCGAACATATTTTGCAAACACTTTAAACTTGAAAATCTCAATAGAGCACTCCTCGTTCCATTTTAATTTCCTCTCAAGAATGATCCTTTCCTTTACAGGATCTTGCAGATTCATTCAATTTGTATGGGAACAAGCTAAGTTATACCACGGCTCTCCAAAATTCACTTCGATTATCATCAGTGTTCCTGCCAGTCTCTGAATTATTTCTTGAAATCCTTCTATTTCCACTTGACCAGCCTAATCTTCCAACTTTCTTTTTCTTTCATGGAATGTAGGTTTCACTGGAAGTGCCAGTATTTGGCACCCATTCCCAATTGTCCTTGAAAGGCTTTCAAAGCCATTTCAGAGAGCACTTAAGAGTCAACCACATTACTATTAGTCTGGAGGTTGCGTGTAGTCCAGAACATGTAAGGATGACATTCCATTCTCCTTTCACCACCTCATGATTGTAGACTCCCAGTTCAAACGTGAGCATCACTGCATTTTTGCTTAATAAAGCAAACTTTGTTTAGATGGTACCTTTATTGACCTGCACACTTGATTAACTGGCAAAAATGATATACCTCAAATACTGCAGTGGCAGAGTATTTATGCTGTACATAAAGTATAACAATGATGTGTATGCCCCCTACATTAAGATTCTATTACCAATGTGTTTTTACATAGATTTTAGGTGGTGTGTTTTTACATAGAATTTTGAGGGATATTGATGTCTCAAAGTTTTGCTTGGTTAGGATTTAATGCGGTAATGCATATCTCTTGATTTATCCAGAATATTTGATCAGCCAGCATGCTACTGGTCCCATAGGTGCTGGTTAATAAAAAGTTTGCTATAACTTCAAATGTGGAAAAGCAAACCTGGTTCCTGACAGCCTTCCTGCTTCTGGTCTCCAGCTCTTAGCAAATTCTCTCAGCCTCCTCCGAACTGTCCCAGACCCAGAATTCATCTGCCTGTTTTTGTGATAAATCGCACAGCTAAAATGCAAAACCAAACAAAACCTCAAGAGTTATTCTTTGGAATGTGACATTCTTGGGATGTCCCATTCAGTTTGTCCTGGGAAACCATAAGAGCAATTCAACTCCTTTTTATTAAGACAACCCATCTCTACCTAGAAGGTAATCCATAGTTTAGTTTTCCATACATTACACAATGATGTCCTAAAGCAAACATAGATCATTGTTATGTTTGATTGCCAGCTTCTTAAACCAGGTGTGTTTTTTCATTTAGTTTGGAATTAGCATTTTAAATACAAGATAGAAATTATAGTCCAAAAGACAGTGAATCTTAGAATGAGATTTGTTAACACTGAAACCAATAATTCTGTCTTAATTAGGTTGTTACGTTAAAGATACTAAAAGTAAAGTGGACAGAGTTACTGATAATCGAAACTGATCATCTTGATATAGCTGTTTGACTTACACCTCCAAACGTTCAATCAGATACTTAAGAAATTAGGAGATTAACCACATGATCTGAGTGCTGATTTAAAGATTCACACAAGAGATGAGATTTCCTGGACCTCCTTCTGACTTCCTGTTCAACATGGGCATTACTAGTGTCTGGAAGGTAGCCACCTCGAGGTGAAACCCTCCTGGTACTTATGTTTTCTTTTAATCTGTGGAGTCTTGAATGTAAAATTCGCTCTTGCACTTCTAGTTAGCTATCACAAAAGTTCAACTCCTCCTGTTTTCAGATTCATTCAGGTTTTAAGATTTCTAAATTGATTAAGCTGAAACATACAATTTCAATTGAGTCCTGTTGGAAAGAGGTGTTCCCTGCATTCAACACATTCTTCGCGATAAACTAAAATCCCAATTGTGATGAAAACCACACCACCTCACTGTAATTATTTTATTGTTGAACCTATCTCCCAGGCAACTTGGTCATATGATCAGTAGCTAGAAGCAGGTTCCTTTACCAGAAATTACCTCTCAAAGAAACCTACCTCTTAAAGGGACCATCACCCAATGTAAGGCATACATTTTTCCTCAATCATGTGGGCCACCAAGCTGAGATAACAGAACACAGTCCCAGTGCTCATGGTGGTATTTTCAGTGGTTGACTACATAGGCACATGAATGGAGAGTAGTGTCTACAATATAATAATATATTTAATTAGGAAAAACTGCAGATTTGCTTTGACTAATTTGGGTGTGGTAATTTGACACCAGATCACTTTCCCGCTCTGACTGAAATTTCTAGCGGATCTGAGTTCTGCATTGCCTATTATCATTAAGTTTGATACCTGCCTTTTGAAGTTAGCTTCTCATTATATTCACGTAAAAAATAATAATGTAACAGTTTAATTGTCTGCAAATGAGGATAGTAATCAAAACGAGTCTGCACATTATTTCTTCTGTTTTCTTTGTAGGAATGAGGCTAAATCTGATGGCAGGACAGACTTAATACCAACAATCAAGTTTCGTCACTGCTGTTTGCTGAGGAATAAACGCTGTATTTTAGCATACCTGTATGTTAGTATTTTATTTGTTATGGGATTTTGTGGTTCTAAGTTTAATCTTGGCATTAGATTGGCTTTCTATTCTTCAGTTTGGTAATGTAATCTAGTCAAAAGTAAGTCAACTTGGCACAACATAATGCATAATTTCAAGATATAAAAGCACCACAAAATATCTGCCACCAACACGTAATTAACGATCGATATGTTTACATATTAAATTTTATTCTATCTGCTGTTTGGTCAGATTAGTAACTGTTAGTTTGTTAGGAGCTGTTTGAATACAACCAGTGACCAAGGAGCCATCCTCCAACAGATTATTTTGAAATCTTTTTAGAAAGTGGCTTTTGCTAAGATGAAATTCCGCCTAATATGCACATGGAACACTGATATCAGGATAAAATACCAGAGTCCGTGCAGACTGTAACAAGTTATAGAAGGGTTACAGCACAGGAGACCATTCTGTCCTTGTTCATTACTGGCACTCTGCAAGAGGAACACAAATAATCACACTCTTCTGCCTTTTCCTGTACTGCTTCACTTTTTTTGCTGTTCGCGTGATTATCTAATTGTCTTTTGAAAGCCTCAATTTGGGTCTGCCTGTACTGTTCTCAATGCATTCCTTATCATAATCACTTGCTGTGTCTAAAACAAAAGCACATCAAAAGGAAGTTTTCTTCATCTTATTATTGCATCTTTTGGCAATTACCTTAAATTGGAGTTCTCTGCATGTTATCAAATATTGTTATATGAAGATAGACTGCGTCATGATTTGAAAGGACAGGAACACTCTGCAATCATCAAACCTCATTTGACCTTATAAGGGGAAGGCATTTGAGGCAGCTGAAGATGGTTAGGTCTGGGGCACTGCCCTAAGGAACTTCTGCAGCAATGTTCTTGGGCTGTGTGTCTGGACTGAACAACCACAACCATCTTTGTGCTAAACATAATGAGCCAGTAGAAATAACGTAGTTTTTACAAGAGGTCCTTGATGCTACACTTGGTTGAGTACTGCTTAGTGTCAAAAACAGCCACCTATCCTTCAACTCTCTTGTTTCCGTTATGATCTATGTTATGTGGTCTGGAGTTGAGTGGGCCTGGCAGAGCTGAACTAAACATTAGTGTGAATATTATTGGCAAATGCCTCTTGGTAACATTGTGTACATTACCTTCCTTCACCTTGTGATTGATTGTATGTAGACTGATGGGTTGTAATTGACAAGATAAGATTTGACCTTTTTTTTTGTTGAATGGAACATATCTGCAATTTTTCACATTTGAATAGGTACCAGAAACTACTTCAGACTAGTTCTGGAGTGCAAAGATTTAGTATTACAACTGGAATGTTGCCAGAGTCCCTAGCCTTTGTTATATCCAGTACACCAACATTTCTGATATCACATGGAATGTAATTAATGGGTTTCATTCTGGCATCTGAATTGCTGGGGATCTCAAGAGGAGACAGAGATGGATTATCCACTCAAATTTCTGGCTGGATATAGTTGCAAACATTCACTGATGTGCTGAGCTCTCCCACCATCAGGGATTCATGGATTCTCCTCTTGTTTAGTTTTTCACCACCAGTCTCGACTATGACAAGTCTGTTGAGCTATGTGATTGCAGGTCTGTGGAGATAGCATGCAGCTTCCATTCTTTGTTATGCATTTAGTCCTGAGCTGTAGCTTCACTAAGCTGACAAGTTTTTTAAAGATTCAGCTGGTGCTGTTCATAGAATGCTCTTCTATTGTTAAATCATGGTGATTAAATTGGCTTTGTATCAGGTATCACTGTTGAATGAAACAAACTTTTTAAACACCTATGTTGTCATCTTGATCAAGAGAATCTAACAGCAACAACTTGTATTTTCATAGTATCCTTTAAAATATAAAAATATTCCAAGGTACTTCACAGTAGCATAATCTGACACAAACCAGCCAAAGAAAGAGATGGAAGGATTTGGGGAAGGAATTCTAGAACTCTGGCCTGGGGCAGGTCAACAAAGGTGAGACCAAGGAATTGGGGGATTCATGAGAGGCCAATATTGGTGGAATGCTGGATCAGGCTATAATGATGGTAAGGAGTAAACCAGGTCTTTAAGACCCTTCTTGAGGTGCTTTTCGGTAGTGGTTCTTGGAAAAGGGATGAATCCACTGATTGCTGTGGTTATTGTCAGGGAAGGATGTCATCGGGATCCACAGTTAAATAGATTGCCAAAGATATTGCAGTTTTAAAATAAAGCGAGATGGGGAGCCAGTGTGGATAGATGCCTTCTGAAGAACAGAAATGAAAGCAGTGAGGTTATGGCAACATTTAGGCTTGGACTGAGACTCAGTAAGTAATGCCTGTGCCACAAAAGATAATCTAACCATTTGCTTTGCTGAAACACCACTAGTAGTACAAAGGGATTACCATTTGATTAGAAACCTAACTGGATCAGCCACGTAAACACTGGCATCATGAGCAAATCATGGGCTGAGAATTTTATGATGAGTACCTTGCCTCTCGACTCTAAAGTCTGTCCATCAGTGCAACTCAAGAGTGAGATGAAATATTCTTGGAGTAGAAAAACAAACTACTGTGGATGCAAGAAATCAGAAATAAAAACAAAATTCTGGAAATATTCAAAAAGTCAGGTACGATTTGTTTCTCTCTTCACAGGTGCTCTTGACCTGCTGAGTGTTTCTAGCATTTCGGTTTTTACTTGAAATATTCCCAACTTGCTTGGATAAGTGCAGCTCCAGCAACACTCGCAATTTGACAGCCCTCCAGGACTGAGCAGCCTGATTGAGCATCTTATCTACCACTGTGAAATTTCAGACAGTGATGCCGCAGTGGGTACCATCTACAAGATGGAACAAATTTTTCAAAAGGAGGAAGAAATGGAGTAAAAAGGATTCAGCTAAAAGACCTCTTGTTTTCTCCTCAACAGATACGACCGTTTATTGCGAATTCGATCATTGAGGTGGGAATATGGAAGTGTTCTACCGTCGAGAATTCGGTTCCACTTTGCTGCTGAGGAGGTAAGGCTGCTTTAAAATGGAACGTGAAGAACCTAAAACTGAGGAAAGATTGTTTATAGTCTATCTGCTCTGTCTGGATTCTTTTAGTGTAGCACCCTGATTTAGTTTTGGTTTTTCATGGAATCATTTGATATTTCAATATTACAGCAAGCCACTCACCACAACATAGCTACTGAATGTAGTTCCATTTACTAGTTCTTAACCCACTCTCTTTTTAATATTATGCCAATCCATGTTAGGCCTAAAAAGTTTGAATGATGAGGTAGGATTCAAGAAGCATTTTAAGGCAAGGAAAGAAATTCCAGAGAAGTGGGATCTGGGCAGCTGATATCCAAAGAGGAGGGAAATTGTTACTATCTGCTGCTGATGTCAATACTGGACAAGTCAGACCCCAGAGTGAAAGTTAGCTCATTTGATGGTTACATTTTTTTTAAATAAAGGAGGTCAGTTAACGAAAACATTCACCAGAAGTTGCCAGGGTACAGTTGACATAAAGAAGAAAGACTTTATTAAAGCCAACAAGAAAAAAGAACTATATTACACCAAGTGCAAAGTTGGATAGGTTTCACTGTAGGGCTATCATGATCTTAATCAGAAACTCCTGAAATTGAGCGCCACTATTCCAAGTTGTAATTCTCTACAGCAAAGAGGTAAAAGCTTCCATTTTACAATAAATTTCAAATAACATGAATGTAGTCCTTCATCTCATCGAAGAATCGCCTCTATCTTCACACTGAAATTCAGCTGAACCCTATTGCAGCCTTGACTCCACTCTGGCATACACTGACTGACTGACTGACTGACTGACTGACTTTCTGGATTGTTTTGCCTTTCCCTGAACGTCATTGGATCCCTGTCACTCAGTAACAGTCTTATTTCCCTCCCCATCCCTATCTGCCTTCCGTAGGGACTGCTCTCTCCGCGACTCCCTCGTCTGCTCCACAATCCCCACTAGCCCCACCACCCCCGGCACCTTTCCCTGCAACTGCAGGAAGTGCTACACCTGCCTCTACACCTCCGTCCAAGGAACCAAAAAAACCTTCCACATCAGATGGAGGTTGACCTGCACATTCGCCAACATGGTCTACTGCTTCCAATGTGGCCTCCTCTACATTGCTGAGACCAAGCGGAGGCTTGGAGACCGCTTTATAGAGCATCTGAGCTCTGTTTGCGACAAACGACAACACCATCCAGTTGCAAACCACTTCACCTCCCTCTCCCACTCCCTGGGTGACATTTCTATCCTGGGCCTCCTCCAGTGTCATAATGACGCCACCCGGAAACTGGAGGAGCAGCACCTCATATTCCACTTTGGGAGCCTACAACCCAACAGTCTCAATGTGGACTCTACTAGTTTCAAAATCTCCCCACCCTCAGCCTTCTACCATGACCAACCCTTTCTTTCATTCCCGCCTCCTTGACCTGACACAATGTGTCCGTCTTCTCTCCCACCTATCTGCTCCTCTGACCTCACTGACCAATCCCCACCACTGCCCACCTGCACTCACCTATCACCATCCCACCTACCTTCCCCAGCCCCACCCTGCCTCTCTATTTATTTCAGAGCTCCCTTCTCCTCCACCCCCACCTCCCATTTCTGAAGAAGGTCCCGACCCGAAATGTCAGCTTTCCTGCTCCTCTGATGCTGACTGGCCTGCTGTGTTCCTCTGGTTGCACACTGTGTTATCTCTTCTTTTCTTTTTTTTCTCTCCTGTACTTTGTGCAGTAAACTGTTCACCTCAAGGGTTTGTAACTTCATTAAATGGATATAAACGAAACAAACCTGAATCCTCTGCATCAAGTCCAAAATAACTCCACAAATTAAATGTCTTCCCCTTGATGTACAAAATACAAATTTGAATTTAAACTGGGAGTTATATATGTGTATGGTGTCAAAAGCATAGAAGGGAGTCAGGTGAAATTTTGAGGGATGGAGAGCTGTAAAGGACAAGGAGGGATTTAATCAGAAGGATTTTTTAAATTTGTGTGCTTAAATCACCAGGAGTAGTGACAAATGACTAAAATGATGATGAAACAGGCAGGAAATTTTGCATGTGGTAAAGTTCATGTGCAGAGGTGGAAAGCCAGTATTGGATGCATTGGTGTAGTTGAGTACCAGGATGATAAAAGCATGGAAGAGAATTTCAGCTGGCACTGAATTCTGATGGAACTGAGGTGAACAGTGAAGTGTTGATGAATGTGGATGATTGTTTATGATGAAACTTGGAAGAATACTAAACTGTGAGGAGGTCAGTTTAGAACTCTAAAAGGGCACAAACAAGTTGATAGAATGGGCACAGCAGGCCAAGCAGCAGAGAGGAGCAGGAAAGCTGACGTTTTGGGCCTAGACCCATCTTCTTTCTGAAGAAGGGTCTAGGCCCAAA